GGACGATGTGAAACAATATAGACTACAAAAGCAATGAGGTTTCCAGGCGTTAGCCTTATCAAACTAATGTCCTCTATCTCGCCTCTTTCGTCTCATTTTGGAGATGCCCCATCGACAGTGCAAGTATGTTTCTCCGGCCTCGGCGCACATCACATTCAGCCATCTCCACTTCAGTGCGACAAACTGCACTCTTTCCTTCAAAGGTCAACGGCCACATCAGATACGATGATACTCACATGATAGCTTGATTGTTATTAAGATGTCTGGCAAAAGTACAGGCTCCCCTTAGAGTGATTCGTGCATAAACAACTTTGTTTGCGAGGTGACATGTGCAGATGAAATACAGGTGGCTGTCACCATTGATCGTAAAACTGTCTTAATCTTTGTATTTTCCACCCAAAACTTGACGATAAGTAGCTGTCAGTTGTGGACGTTTCCTAAAAATTCCATCAAACTGTAACTCCTGCCACCGTGGTGCAGGTGTAAGCAGCTGCAAAGCCTCTGAATTACACCATGCTCCTAACACCTTATTGCTACCTTTTAAATTTGTCCCATTGTATTCCTCACATGTGCCTTTTGAGCTACATTACCGGATATGCCCAGTGAGCAACGGAGACAGGCCTACTGCCTATTGAAAGCTCACGATCATTCTTGATCACAGTGCACTTAACTATTCAGCTATGTAAAAGAATCGCTAACCACTACTTCGATTTGGTGCAAGTGGATATTGTCTGAGATGAACCAACGCGACGCGAACAGGCATAAAATGTATCCAAATACAGAATAAGCCTGGGAGACCTTTTACTCCCATTGAAGGAGCGAACAATCCATAAGAGGAGTCAAGTTTAATTTATGGAATGCACCAATTATCACAAACTTGGCAGGGCGATGCTGATTGGTCGAAATGAGGGTGGTGCGGAGGGTGACCAAATGATAGGATGATTTTTATTGGTCAAAAAGGTAAATCAACCCGCCACAACAGCAGAATTCCCAAAAACGAATTATTGAATATAGAACTTTAAGTTTATCCCATGCGACATACAACCACTGCGTAATGTTCAAAAGGTTGACAAATTGACGATAGTGATAGAGCAAAAAATGTTAAAATGTTAAGCACTGCTATCCAAATCGCGAATTCCCACTCAAGTTACACCCTCTGACTCACCAATTTGGACCGAATAAACTCAAATGTTGCTGTTAATTGGTTCAGAAATGTCCTACCAACTCCAAATACTTTACAGCATAATTTCAATCACCGGCAGTACCATATTATTGAGCCCAGAGAACTCTTCACTTAAAAATTTGTTATTTTTACCTTTTCTTACCTAAATAAAAATGCTAATTAAATTAACAGTCACTTTCTACCCTCCAGAACAGTTATTGGAGACGTTGTTTTGACCTCAGAGCTTACTTCTGATTAGTCGAAGCTTAGTTGAATTAGTTTAGCAAATTTTGAATTCTTTTGCTCTTTTACTCGATTAATTCTATGTGTTAATGCGGATTTTTTCAGGTCTACAGATCTTAACTTTCCCGAAGGGGGAAGGAAATAGTGTTGCAGATATAAAGTGACATCAAATGAGCCAATCAAAACGTACATGGAGCGGAAAGATTTGTGAGCATCCGCAATTCTGGATACCAAGCTTGTTTCCACTTTAAAAAGGCTATCGTTTGTCTTGTAACTTGCATTTCCAGAACGGTTAATTTCTCCATTACCAACTCTTCCCCACTGCCTTCCACTTTATCCCTTGGGGAAGGGAGGTTTTGATTAAAAATTGTCTGTTTCTTAAGACAAAAATAACAAGCGGATTGATAAATGAATCCAAATTATGAATCTTTTATCAAATCCGTACATCTCCTTATTCCTTACCCGAGGCTTTCTACTCAACATAAGATTGTATAGGCTATTTTGTACGGCTGCCATAGCCTCAGGCAGAGTGTTGATTGCCGTACCGTGACAGATTCCCGAGATATGTTCGACCACAGCCTTTCGAATCATCTCACAAGTATGGCCAGCAGCATTGATAGTGTTCTGTAAGATGGTCAAAAAGAAGGACGTATTGCAAAGGCTGTTACGAAAAAGTTTAAATTCCTCCCCTCATCCCTTTTATCTGAGGTGATATCAAATTTCAAAGGCGATTGGCTGAGAAAAGGGTGCATTTGATTGGTTGAAATAGGCTGACCTGATTTGATTAGTTTTTGTTGGCATTTTTTGCGTCCTTTAAGCAGACCTCCATTAGCAACTCGAATACGTAATAATGGTAATATATTTGCTTACAAAAGAAAGATTGGCAACTTGTTTGCGGAGGTTCGCAATGTAGTCGCTTATTTTCATCACCGAACTTTCAATCATTGCTCTGAATGAAATGCAAGAGTCAATGAGTTTTAAAGGGGGGTTGAAAGGGATTTTTGTGAGCAAAGAGACACATGGATGCTCACCTTTCAGGAATACGAGTCTCAGCCACATAGGCCTCGTGAAGATTCAGCTTTCGAGACTTATCCTGAACCTAGAGGAAGTATTTTGATTAGGATAAATTATTATAAGTTGCCAGCCGAAAGGAAATAGTGATACAAGAAGAGAAAAAAAAGAAAATGTGGGGGACGGCATGGGGGATATTTGATAATATCAGACGTACTGAGGGAAGGAAATGCTCCTGTGCACTGAAGGCTTCCAACACCAACCGTGCAGTTGCTCCCGTCCGACAGCAGTCCCGAATATACTCATGATCACAAAGTCGAGCGTGTCTAGGTGGCACAAGTGGACCAAAACCATCTCCACCAATAGAATTTAAGATTTAAACTCAAATTATTCGATCAACAAATCAGGAAAGAGCTTAGAAATTACGTATAAACTTTTGAAATGAAGAAAATTAAGGGGAGTCAATAAGGCAATCAGGTGTTAAAAGTTCATCAAAATATGAAACAGCATCTTCAATTACCAAATCACGAGATAATGTGCGTCTTTAAGTGCATCCCTTTCTGGTGCAAAAAGTCAATTTGGTTTTTTTTTGGCCTTAATACAGCTAGTAAGAAAAGTCCGGTGAGAGGAGAGAAAAGTGTTGCCGCCAAGATCACTGGCAGCTGGAGTTGGGAGGAGAGGTGAAGCGGAAAACTCACGGATGCAGAAGGTCAGTGCGCCCGCATATTCGGAGACAGTACTCAAAAGATTTGAGAGGTTTGTCTGAACCATAGGCTCGCTCAAGGCATTCTTTCACCAGTGTGGAGACTACCATTGTGGCTATATCAGGAAAAGAAGTGATCAATGGGCCAGTGAATAATCAAAAAGTGAGGACACCGCTGACCCCAGGCGGCAAGCAATGTTCCAAATGACTGTTCTACAGAAGAGGAGCAAGACAAAGGATGAATGAAACTTTCTAATTCCTCCCATCCTTCTTGGCTCTGATTCGCAGAACAAAACGGTACAAAAAAGTAGAGTCGATATTTTAAGACAGGCGTAAAATGCACTCGAAGCAGCCCCTCCAGTTGCACACGCATTTCTTGACAGCGTTAGTAGGTGAGACCCCTTGACAATGACAAGTCCAGTGTGGAATGAGAGACGAAATCTGTTGTCCTCTTTATTGTCTCTGCTAGATCGTCATGCCGCTAAGTCTTAATTTATAGCATAGAAAAAGGTGGAGAGAGAGAGAGAGAGAGACAGTGAAAGAGAGTTTGTGGGTGTGTGCACGCCTCGGTGGAGAGATTCGTTCAGCGAGGGCGGCATCAGTGTGCATATACACTAAGCGATGACAACATAACGACACAAGCACATACAACTCTGCCGAATTGCATCAAAAGCAGTGAGGAATGCGACTTTTTATTTCACGAAACATTGACAATTTGTAAGGCCTAACACCATCTCTGGTCTTCGCTTAAAACAACCCCCAGATGATTGCTGGAATTCAAGTGATAGATCTGGAAGAGGTATAGCGAGCTACTTTCGGGGACAGATGAAAGACATTACACTGCATCTCCACGTTCACAAGACCAGAGAGAAGTGGGAGTTAAGACTAGCCTAGGACCCGTCGCCATGACGACCTACCACTGAGAGCGAAGAGGTCGAGACAGACGCACGACCCGCCTCTCCCTCCTTCCACCCTCCAAATCGAAGGGAGATGACAAGCCAAGGGCTGAAAAGTTGGTGGAGCGACTCACGTTCACAGTCAGTTTGGAATTTCTCCTTCATCCACGAACGCATGGTGTCGGTGTAACGATTGCAGAAGTAGGCGGCCATGGGAATGTAGATTTTGAGATTGACACTACTCGATACATCCGGTCCTGGCACAGGAATAAAAGCAGTCTGTGGGGCCCGATCTGCAATGGCTAAGAGTCCGGGATTGATATGCCAATCATCATGAATTGTCTCCTTGGTGTTGTATCGAAGGCAGTAGCTTGAGGCACTTCCATGAATACCATCAAATATGTAGGCATTGAAAGAGACCGGAGGTTGAACTGCAGGCAGCCTCTGTAAGCAAATAGAGGAGGGCGTGGGGAAAGTGTCCCTCGTTCCGGGTAGCCATGGTGTGCAGCTGTAAATGGAACATTTATAGAATTATGTAAAAGCCAGCAAAACAATACAAACATACACAGTCTTGTGATGAAAACAACCTTTCGTCTCGGCTAAAGTGGGAGG